TACGGCAAGATCGCCGCCTCCGCCTCTCCTCTTCTGAACTCCCTACTTCACGGCTGTACGCCATTGTAGTTGGCTCTAAGGGCAGGCTGCGTGGCCTGATTTACCACTTCATCAAGTCGGAAGAGAGGCTTACGTGGGCTGTTGACGAGCGTGCTCCCCTTGCTCTTCGGGAGAAATGGGCGGCGCAGATTAAGGACACTGTAGCCAAGCTGCATCATCTGGGTGTCGTCTGGGGCGACGTCAAGGCCGACAATGTTCTCGTCGACGAGAACAGTAATGCCATAGTCATTGACTTGGAGGGCGGCACCACACAAGGCTGGGTTGACCGAGGGAAGGAAGGCACTGTTGAAGGAGACGCACAGAGAATAGAGAATATGATGGACTTCATCTTTAATGATGAATCGATGCTCCGTCCCCCGCCTTTGGGGCCGGACGACGAGCCTATTGTCAAGCTCAGAGGTTATTGATGGGATGGCTTCTTGATGGCAGGAGTAAGAATCGGGTACCTAGCAATAACAAAAGCAGACCTCGACAACCCTGCGATGCATGTTCACCTATAGTCATTTAGCAGGGTGCCTTATCAACTTATCAACTGGGATCGGAGAAAAGTAGCAAAAGCCGATCAGCTCCACACGGCGGTCCGAACTCTGTCGGAGAAAAATGCCGAAATGCGACTCCTTTCTGGGATCCTGAGGGGATGTCTGACGCTACGCGTGGGGTCAAGTTGGGGTTCAGCATGGCACGGGTGTACATATTGAACGATCAATGGCTTACCATGTCACAAATCGCTTCGGCGCTGCCGGCGTAGCAGAAACCGAGTCGTGTTCAAAAGGCAGGCTTGCGCCCTCTCTTTTTCCTGTTGAAGTAGAACCGATTTCTCTTTACGGCCTCTGCTTTTCGTACTCGAGAGACCAGTAGAAGCCACAGCACCACCATGCCCCAGAACGAACTCATCCCCTCTTCTTGGACGGTCGAGGCCTCGACAGAATCGGATGACTCTCCTTCTATTCGGTTGACCTCATCCAGCAATGGCGCTCCGTTCAACTTCAGCTTCGAGGCTGTCCGACCGAACGTCTTCAGGACCACATATACCTCCGAGAGCCACCCATTGCCTCCTCACCCAAGCATACCCCGCCCTGAGACCAAACTTGGGGAGAAGAAAGCCTCGATTCAGTCGACTGAAAAGAGCAAGACAATAAGCATCGGAAATGTCTCCGCAACAGTTAATTATTCTGGCGAGACCCCTCATTTGGCCATCAACTTTGACGGCCAGGAAGAACCCCTTCTCCAGGACGTGCCAAACCGTTCCTACACAGTCGATGGACCTGGGATTGCTCATTACACTCGCTACAACCGTGGAACTCTCCACGTCGGCCTGGGCGAGAAGGCTGCGCCCATGAATCTGTCAGGTCGCCGCTTCCAGCTCTCCGCGACCGACAGCTTTGGTTATGACGTCCACCGAACCGACCCTTTGTACAAAAACATTCCTCTCCTCATCAATGCTACTCCCAAAGGCTGTGTTGCTACCTTCTCATCAACGCATGCTCGCGGAGAGTACTCTGTCGGCTCTGAAATGGACGGCATGTGGGGGTTCTACAAGGTCTACCGCCAAGACTTCGGCGGCTTGGAGGAATACGTGATAGTCGGCAACACGCTGAAGGACATCGTCTCGACATATGCCAGCCTCGCAGGATATCCTCTGCTAGTCCCTCGTTGGGCCTTTGGCTATTTATCTGGCGGCATGAAGTACTCTATGCTGGATGACCCACCTGCAAGCGAGTCGCTCCTGGAACTCGCCCGCAAGATGAAGGAACACGACATTCCATGCTCCGCTTACCAGATGTCCTCTGGGTACACCGTGGCTGAGAGGGAACCCAAGACGCGTAATGTCTTCACTTGGAACCGCCATCGGTTCCCGGATCCTGAAGGTTGGATCAAGGAGTACCACAAGATGGGCATGCGTCTGATCGCTAACGTCAAGCCGTACCTCATCGCCAGTCACCCCGAATATCCGAAACTCAAGGCTGCTGGCGGACTCTTTCACTGATCCTTCGCACCAAACAGCCTGCTGTAACCAAGCTGTGGAGTGCCGTCGGCTCTGAGAGTGACTGATGGTGGCCACATTGACTTCACTTCCGAAGCAGCTTTCATCTGGTGGTACGAGGGTGTCGAGACTCTAGCGCAACAGGGTATCGACTGCATGTGGAATGACAATACGAGTACACAGTCACGGATGACACTGGGAATGTGCGCTGGACCAGAAATCCATGCAAGTTCCTCCTGGTCTTGACAAGAGGCCCCAGATCGGCCTCTGGGGCCGCAGCCTGCACACTGAACTCCACGGGAAGGCTTCGCACGACGCTTTGCTCGAAGTCAATCCCGACGAACGTCCTTTCGTCCTAACCCGAAGCGCTACGGCGGGGACAATGCGTTACGCCTGCAGCACCTGGAGCGGAGACAACACAACCAGCTGGCCCGGCATGAAGGGTGCCAATGCGCTATCCCTAAATGCTGGTCTCAGTCTACTGCACTGTTATGGCCACGACATTGGCGGGTTCGAAGGGCCTCAGCCGTCACCGGAACTGCTCCTTCGCTGGGTGCAGCTCGGCATCTACTCTCCTCGCTTTGCCATTAACTGCTTCAAGACAGGGACCGACAACAGTGTCGGCGATGTAATCGAGCCCTGGATGTACCCTTCTATCACGCACCTCGTACGCAAGACTATCAAGAGGCGTTATGCCCTGATTCCTTACATCTACTCCCTGGCACTGGAGAGCCATGTGAGCGCAACACCTCCTCAGCGTTGGACGGGCTGGGGCTACGAATCTGACCCGGAGGTGTGGACTAACTCTGTGCTCACCGACGGAGAGACGCAATACTTCCTTGGAGACTCGCTCCTGATCGGCGGCGTGTACGAGTCCGGCGTCAGCAAGGCGCGAGTCTACCTTCCTAAGAGGTCGGAGGAAGACGAGGGTTTCTTGAACCTCAATGCGCCTTATCAATACTTCGCGGCAGGCCAGTGGATTGACGTCGATGCAGAATGGCACGGCTCCGGCATCGCCGTACTGGGCAAAGTCGGCGGCGCCATCCCGGTCGGTCGTGACGTCCAGGTTCTTTCGCCCGGCGAAAAGGAAAACGTTGCCAACCTTCCCCTCGATGATTATCGGGCTGTTGAGATTTTGCCACCGCAACACGAGTCCAAGGACGGCAAGTGGCACGAGACGACGTGGTTTGAGGACAATGGCGTGTCAGTCGTGACCAAGAACAAGATCTCATCGTACACCATTGCCTATTCCGCGGCTGCCAATGAGATCAAGGTGAAGTTCACTAGAGACGAGTCGTCTGGATTCGAGGCTCCCTGGCAATCTTTGGTTGTCATTTTGCCGTCCGGCGATCAGAGGACATTGGTGAGCTCAGATGGCAAGGACGTCAAAGCGCTGGGCGTGGATGAGCAAGGCCGCCACAAGTTCGAGCTAAGCTGAAAGTACAGTCTAGTGGAGCATATCCAATGAATTATCAATAAGTAACCTTTGTTTTAATGTTTGAAGTTTCGTCTCACTGAACTAGGAGGAATGCAGTAGATGGTCAAAAGTGAGGATCCCTGACTGGGTCAGGGGAAGCAACATGGTAAATTCATACTGCTATCCTTGTGAACTTTTATTTGACGTCCCCTTCACAAGGAAAAAAAAAGTACTTGAGTTTTGTGTAGTACGGCACGTACAAGGTCTATTTATATCTGTGGGATCACCATAGCGCTGAAAGAGCATGGACCGAAACAGCTAAGCAAAGCCGGATGAAACACTCTCGATACTGCGATAGATGTAGTGTGATTTGTGTTATCCCAAACTCGCTCGAAGGCTAATCCACTCAACTGCGGTAGCTGATACCGAGCACATCGCGGAAAATTATCATAGGTTGTTGCGCCTGGCTGGAAAGCCACCGCTGACTTTCAAATGGTTTGTTCAGCATTGAGCAGTGGATGAAAACTACTATAACCTCCTGCTCTAGCTGTGACTTCTGAAGTAGATGGCCTGACCTTACTTATGAGTTGTCTCGTGGCTACATACATGCCTCCTAGAAAGCCATCTTGAGCTTGAGCTTGTCCTCTTCGATAATGGCCGATTTCATTTGTATTAGCTCTTCCATGTCCCATGGACAGCTGATGTACCGCCCTGCGAGCCAAGCGTGACGCCCAGCAACCAGCCATACGATAGTATCACCTGCAATTTCCGGTTTATCTGGTAGAGTGTTTCGTAGATATTCTGGCAAACCACCTTTAGTGATCTCGGTCTTGATAGCTCCTGGATTGATAGAGAAAGCTAGCAGCCCCTGATCAGCGTAATCAAGCTGAATTGATTCTGTCCAGCGCGTAATTGCAAGCTTGGAGGATCGGTATCCCGTGCTCGCCGGGCGGGCACTGAGCGCGCCAGAAGACGAAACATTGACCATCGTGCAGAGGCCGTCCCCAGATTCGCGGGCCGAAAGCATCATGGGCAGAAAGGCGCGAGCCATGTTGAAGAGGCCGCCGAGGTTGACTTGCCAAGTGCGCCAGTAAACATCGGGATCCGCATCGAGAAATCGCTCGTATGGCTCCATGTGCGCGGCGTTGTTGACAAGCACATCAAGCCGCCCGCTAAAGGCAGCGACCACCTTGTCGTAAGCGGCTCTGACGCTGGCCGCATCGGCAATGTCTGTGGTGCAGCTGATCACAACCGGTTGGTCTCGTCCTGCTTCTTTCGCAACCTGCTTGAGGTCTGCGACAAGGTTGTCAGATACGCCATGCTGGTCGACGACGGCGATTCCTGCAACACCCGCCCTGGCGAATGCTTTTGCGGTGGCGAAGCCGACACCTGTGTCCCAAGCTGCGCCGGTGAACACAGCGTATCTGCACGATAAGTCCAGCTTCAGTGGAGATATCAGGTCATATGATGTAGAGTGCCGCGTACGGGTGAAGTCGCGGGGCGCGCTATGGGGCTGGGCTGTCATACTTGGTCGGTTTCTCTAGTCGACTCAAGGGATGGATGATCTGCAAAAAGTTGCAGTACGTGTTTAATTGACGATTTGCTTGGCATAAAACGCGGAAACAGATCTTGAGAGTAACAGCTAATTCAGAATGCGAATGTCTACTCTATTATACTTCATTATACTTTCTTGCGGGCCGGATTTTTTTCGTCCGTCTCGAGCTTCGCAACATCACATCCGGGCGTGTTCTCGGGCCGTCCTTGATGGTTCAAAGCGGGGTTGCAAGTTTTGGATCACTAATCCGCTGTCGCTCGATGTTGCGATCATGACAACACTTCCAGTCTTGTTAAGAGCATGTTTGTCGAGTGGCCGACACGAGGAGCTGCAAACTCGATTGTCGGACGGCTGTCGCTTTGTAATCGACTACTGAGTTCCTGAGAACGTTTTGGGCATCTGGAATTGGACATTGTGATCAGTTGCACAGCACTCCACCTTTGAGGTTCGCAGTATACATAAAATGTAGCCCTCTTGAAGAAAACGTCAGCCCCGAGCTTTCGCCCACAACACACCCATAGCCATCGCAGATCAACACACAATGAGAATCATGCTCCATCTCGGCCCATAATCTTTCTTACTGGTGCAATTAATTCCTTCGATAATGTCGTTCTTGCTACTTTGAACACGCCTGTTCTTTGTGGGCCTTGGGTCGTGCCAACAGGACTAATGCTACCTCTTAAAGATCGCGTTAAAAAAGCTCTCAGTAGGAGCGTTGGCATTTCTAAGACATTTCAATGATTTTTCACATGCCATAACATTGAGAAAAATATCATTGTGGGATTCGACGCTGCCTGAGCGGCAACTCTGGCCCGAGGCCTAGGGGCCAAGCCTCGACAGGTTGAAATCTTCGAACATCTCCGATTTCAGCACGTGAAACCCAGTCGACCAGCCCTTTTAAAACTACCGACTCTTTCTGTGCGTGGATTATACCATATAGGACTATGTTTCGATCATGAATGGAAACTCTAGACTGACGAGGCCTGGCCGTCGCAGATGGCAGAACCTGGTGCCGTCAACGTTTGCCTCCTCTCGACCGTGAACAGCGTCTGAATCAGGCCATCAATTGCCACGTGTAGGACTGCGGGGAATAATTTCAAAGCGCTGAATCAATTAGATGGGTTGCCAAGAGAAGGCCAGAGCACCCGGAGGCTTTCAGTGCGGTGGTGCTTAGAAACTCAACATTCCTCCACACTCGCGTCCGATCTCCAATGGCTTGAGTGCTTTGGCACAGCAATGCCACGGTATGATTGGAAATCAATATGCCGTGGCCGTCGGTTAAGTCTTTGAATCAACGGCATGGGACAGCACCGCCTCGGCGTCACATCGGAAGCCTACAGTGGCCTGAATGACCCTGACTAGGATATTGCGTACTTAAAAGTAGATAGTCTCGTGGGTTCAGGCACATTTTAAGTAGTCAAAAGACACAGAAAGAATATTACAGACCTTTCAAAGAAAATTGATCAACGACATCAACAATAATGGCATCCTTCGAAAGCGTCCTGTTGATCGGAGTAAGCTTTCTCTCCCCCACTACAACCGCAATCTAGCGCCGTCTTGCTCAATGAGATGAGAACCAGCTGACGTCCTTCTCAGGCTGGTGGCAATCTTGGTGTGCCAGTGCTGCAGGCATTCCTTGATGCTGAACGTTACAAAGTCAGCATCTTGACCCGTAAGGGATCTAACTCGGTCTTTCCTGAGGGCGTTAAGGTTTACAAGGCAGATTACGCCGATATGGAGGAACTGAAGCGCGCCATGGAGGGCCAAGACGTCGTCATCAGTATGATTACCGGACTCGCAGGGGGCGCTCAAAACATTCTGGTCGATGCTGCCATCGCGGCGGGTGTCAAGAGATTCCTGCCGAGCGAGTTCGGCCCCCCGTCGCGGGATGATGCGTTTGCGGCATTGAACCACGTCGTCCTGCCTCTGAAGACCGCTACCGTTGATTATCTCAAGACAAAGGAATCACAGATCTCGTGGACGAGCATCGTCACCGGTGCTTTCTTCGACTGGGCCCTCGATATTGGCTTCATAGGGTTTAACATTTCGACAAAGACGGCTGGTCTCATTGACAGTGGAACTGCTGTTTTCACATCATCCACTCTCCCTTATATCTCCAAAGCGATTATCGCATCCCTTGAACGCCCAGATGAGACTAAGAATCAGTACGTCTTCGTTGGTGAATTCAACGTCTCTCAGCAGGACATTTTGAAGACGCTCGAGGAAGTTCAGGGCGAGAAGTGGAGCGTCGAGCACCTTGTATCGGACGATATGATTGTCTCAGCCGAGAAGAGAATCGCGGAAGGCGATCTTACGGCTATGGTAGATATCACACGTGCTGGCGCAATGGGTGAGAGGGGTCTGGGAGACAACAGGCCTTGGGGACTTTGGGATGAGAAATTGGGCCTGACGCGTCAGAGTCTGGAGCAGGCCGTCAGAGAATCAGTCGCCCGCACGGCAGAGTAGGGTTCAGGGCTTCTTGTAATACTCACAGCAATCGCTGGTCCCGATGCACTGGACACAGTAGAAGACTAGCTGCCCCCCCATTTCTTCCAATGACTTCTGCACTCGCAGTGTGGTTTGCGCTCTCTGACCAAGGGCCAGTTGATCACATGTTCCAACAGCATGTACAATATGGGGTTTGCATTAACTATCTACATGGTATCAATGTCTCTTCCCAAACTTCGTGGCAAGCGGCAAGGCCAAACCCGGCATGAGCAGCTATGGTAGTGATGGGAATATCGTGTGCATCCTCTGAAGCGGCTACTCAGTGATTTTTGCTGCCTGATATCAAGAGTGTGTATAGCTCGAGCCGAATGTGCAACCCCTTGCAGGCTTGTATGTCACAGAATGTCAAGATTCCTAAAGATAGCAACGAACAATGGTTCGGCAGTGCTATGGCCATGGCAGACAGTGCTGAGGGACTCCTGTAAGCATTAGTCTCAAGGCAAAGATACTCTATTGAAGACTAGTGGGCCAGGCTACCTTGGCAGGGAAGCAATGCCACTTCATAGTGACATCACTGCTGGGCCGATTCAGTACGTGGTCTTGAAAGTGTAGATTGTTACCTGGTCCCGACACTGCATGTATCTCTCAAGGGAGCTATGGGAACTTGGAATTAATACCTCTCACTCGCGCCTCACAAGACTACAGGCCGTTCACACACAGTACTTTGCACTCATGGATATCGAAGAAAGCAAGCCTATTTTGCCGAAAAGAAAAGACGAAAAAATGCCGAAAGCATTTTGCGGCGTCGTCTTGAATCTCTTAAGCCAGGCGGCTCCCACTCCTGCCCGGGAAAAGTCGCGTTGGTCTTGACCTTGGCATAGCGAGTCTTGTGGAGAGTATTTTAGTTGTCTCCTTCAGTATCTGGTGTGCTGTGAATATGTTGGCCAAGCTGAGGTATTAGTCCCACAGATCTATCGTTGCGCCGTTCCCGGGATGATACGCCTCTATGTGCTTGAGAAACTCGAGGCATTGCGAGACATCGCTTGAACCGTACCACTAGGCGGCTTGCCTGAAAGATCCCTTTTCTGAGGGCAATGCCTCGCTGGCCCCTCTCTTGGCATTTGCCAACACCTTCTCCTCTCTTCCGAGCCAGGTGCTTGTCCAGAATCGGCCGAGGTAAGAAACTCGTTTCTCTTCGAAAGTTTGCGCGGTCTGCATAGCTGATTAGTACTGGAAGAAATCTAACGTCATCGTGAGCAGGCCCTTTTCGACCAGTTAAATTAGAATGGTGGCTTGTAGCCGGTGTGCCTTTGCCATTCACAATTCTGGGCGGCACATGAAGTCTGATGCTCATGCTGTCTGCCGGGTATGGGCGTCTCCGTCTCAAGGGCACTCGCTCGTTGGTGCTGTTCGGCGGAATGATGTGGTTGAGATGATCAACCTATAGCGTATGCTGTCCGTCCGTAGCATGATTCAAAAAATATCTTTTGAGATGCGAACGTCGTCGTGTTTGGAGAGTATACTGGACTGATCGCTCATGACTACATCTTGATTGCGACGCCATAACCGACTGCCAAGTTCAAAGACGCGCGGCGATTTCTCATATGTTTGCGATCAACCCGGTCAGCTGAGGGGAGATCATGACCCTTTTGTCGGTCTCTGCAGCGCTGCCTCCGAAGTCTGGTGCACACCCTCGAAAAGGGTGTCCAACTCTACGTTGCTGAGCACCCAGACGCCCACTGCGGCGAGTTAGCGATGTTACTGGATCTTGAAGATTTTCCGTCATCTGAGATGCGTGGAAGGCCATTGTAGTCTTCCGAGGTTCGAGCATTGCATTGAGCACTCAATGCTTTTCGTAGAACAGGCATCTAAGCAACCAGCATGAGCCACGTCAGATGCAAAGAAGCCATGTAAAGCAGACTGGCGCAAGGCGACGCATGTAAGCTTTGAAGTATTCCAGATGCCGGCTCGAGTTTTGTGGCTGGTCGGCTGGTCTGCTCACTTTCCGCGGGACGAGAAGATGACGGTCAAAAGGTGCACATACTTAGGGGTCAGCAGGGAGAGGTTTTTGTTGATACGGCGACGACGTCTAAGTCACTGTAGTGAATGAATGTATGTCATGAGGATAGATTCGGACGGAACCGGGAAAGCCCAGTTGACGAGTTTTCCGGGTCTGGAGGAAACAAGAGGGATCCGCGGCGGGGCGGGGCCAGCGACGGAGATTTGGGTGCCGCGAAAGTCCGAGTCGGAGACGGGGCGACGAGAGGCCGTCGAAGATGGGCCGGGAGTGTCTAACATGCTAACTGGTGTAGCTCGACCAAGTTCTGTGATTGACGTTCTGTGATTGACGGATGGAGGCCACGAGATGGGGTCAAGACATCGAAAAGCGTCGTCATATGCCAATGTTCCAATTGTGCATCGAACGGGGTCTGGACCTTCCTGCCTGCAGCCTACAAGTTCCTGCCTGCAGCCTACAAGTTCCTGCCTCCAGCCTACAGGTTCCTGCCTCCAGCCTACAGGTTCCTGCCTCCATTGTTGTCAGGTGGAAGGAGCGAGAACCTGGAGGGTTCCAAGCGGTGTGGCAGGAGCAAGTCGTCCAAAAAAGAACAGAGAAAAAAGAACTTCCATGTCTCTGATGTCAGCGTGAGAAAAGAAACGAGAAAAGGGTGGGGGGTAAAGGCGCCGCACTGCAAAACTCCCACGGCGAACTGAGGTGTGTGTGCCGTGGGTGTCTTCCCGGCGCTAGAGCGCTAAAGGTCAGCGGTGGCTCCAGCGGGCAGCGCCACTAATCTCCTAGTCATGACGATTTAGTCAGCGGTTCGGCGAGGGAAGGAATTCCACCGACTTCCATTCTATGCCGCTACAGCATCGAGTGACGCTTGCTGCGACAGCATTAAGTGCCGCTGGCTCCGGAAACACAACATGAGGATGCTTCGGCTGGGGCTCATGACCAGCTCAAAACTCTGCATTCCAAGTTGACGATGAAGTGCCGAAACGAAGCTCGAGCCGATGGAACGCTCGGCCAAAACCCGCTGTCAGGTGGCGCACCTGGCCTGCCATCACAAGGCGAGAAAGCGATCTGCCCGCCAGAGCCTCCACCACCATACCACCACACAGCCAGTCAAGTCGACCACTAGAGTACATGTACCAT